TATATATATATATATATATATATATATATATATATATATATATATATAAACATTATCGGGTGATGACTCGTTTTAAAGTGAGGACTCGTGAGAATACTTTAAAAAAATTGAAAAAAAAAATCTAAAAAATACAAATCATAAAATCGAGCATAATATTATATTGAAGAGAAAAAAAACTTTGGAAATTTTTTTTTGGATCATTAAAATTGAAGCATGGATTATAAAAATGATCCATGATTCAATTTTTATGATCCATAATTCAATTTTAATGATGCAATGTTTTTTTCCAATTTTTTTTTCTCCCGGATATAATACTATGCTCGATTTTATGATTTGTATTTTTTTTTATTTTTTTTCAATATTTTTAAGGTGTCCTCACTTTAAAAAGAGTTTTCACAGGAACCGGAGTATATATATATATATATATATATATATATACTAGGTATGTTTGAGGCCCGTGCTAAGCACGACCCACAGAGGATAATTTGCGTATTTCATGCACCGTTGTCGAAAGTGTAATGTGCTAATAACTAAAAAAGTGAAAGTACATTGTTATAATCAACGAATATATGGAAGTTCATTCCTGGGTCATGATAGATATTTCAATGTACAATGCATAAAAAGAAAATGAAACTGGAAGTACATTGTTATAATCAACGAATATATGGAAGTCTATTGCTAGGTCCTGATAGATATTTTCATCTTATTGAAAACTCATCATCATCATTGGGATTAAACGAAAAATACCATGTTTGATTTTTGTATTCTTGACTTCAGCCACTTCTATATAGGGTTTGATAAAAAGTTCAATTGCACATCTTCGTCTTAACAACCTTTGGTGTAACAAAGCAGATCTTATCACCATTATATTTGGCTACACGATATGCAAAAAAAAGCAAATTGGTTTCATGTTTGCAAGATCCCAATCAAGTCCAACTTTAATTTCATCCAACTCTCCTATCTCTTTTCGAACTGTGCACACATCAAGAATAACCAGAGTAGGATGCTACATGGACCATCCCCATCATCATTTATAGTCTTTCCAGTTCAAAGACTTGTCTTTCTTCTTCTTTCCCCTGATGCATTCATGCTCTACCTAAGATAAATACAAAATGACACAAAATATATATTATTACTATAAGAAAAAACTCAAAATCTGAATTTAAGGAAGGTCGAGTGTTCCTCCATGGAATAGGTCTCTAAAATTTCGGTAATTTTAAAAACTATAAGCCCAAGTAATATCCAAATCCAGAAGTTTATAGTTTGTTGAAAAAATCACTAAAAAGAAAGAACATATGACTCACATTCTAAAAGTAATTATACCGGATAATAACACTTCAATTAATACCACTAATCAAAGAATAGAAAAACACAATTGAAACCCAGATCTTACATGGTCTATTTGCAAGGTCGGTGTAATAAAAAATCTTGATAGAAAAAACTATTATAGATGCTCTTAAACATTATTTAGTTTGAACATACCATCAAATCAGTGTACCTATTCTGTATTTTTAAGAAAATGAGTTTTGAAATTATAAAGAAATGTCATAGATTGTAGTAATATTATTTATGTTACAATATTTCTCTTGTTTCTTATCAATTATTTAGATAGAAAGATGAAACCTATTAATATTACACATGTGGTTGCATTTAATGGATGTGCACCGGGGCCATAGGCATGACTTATTGTGTCTATTTTGGCATTTATTCTAAAATCATAATGAATAACTTGTGTCCAAAAAGCTAATCCACCAAGTTAAGTTAAGTCTAAGTCATTTTTTCCATCCTTTCTCTTGTTGGTCCAAGTATTTAAACCTTTTTTTTTAACAACAAATATTTAATTCAAAAAAGATCCTTAACGAGAAGGTAGAATTACATAAGTTTTTGACAATGCCTAAAAGGGTCAACACAACAATCGTTCTAGTTAAGACTTGTACATTTTCGCGATCTAACTCCCAATCATTTAAAAGCAATGATTTTCACCTAACTAACAATAACATTACAATTTTTTTTTACCACACCATTGAAAATACACTCATTTCTTACATTCCAAAGAACCCAAAACAACAAAATTGTTCATGCATTTTGAAAGTCGGTTTAAAATAATGATACTATAGGTAGTTTATTACTAAAAACTTATATAAGTTTACAATTGCTGTACATAGATAACCATAGCGAGAAGGACCAGTTGTAGCATAAATTAATAGTTGGAAACTTTTGCAATAGGCATGTTGGCATGTTCAATCATCTCGGCTTTCTATACAGTTTGTTATTAATGAATAATAAAATTATTATTATTTTAATATTAATTATATTTTATTTTTTAAGGATTTGCTGTTTTTTCATAACTAAATGGTCGTCGACTGTATAGGTTTGAATTTTGGATATATTTTTTTTTCTATTGAAGTAATGAAGTCTACTCCCGAACGTTTCATTCAACTTATAGCATCTACTATAATAAATGAAGATAATTTTGCCACATGTCAATCTCTAATGAGTTTTGACACTTGTCATTTTGTGATATTTTTCAAATAAATAATATCCACATGCCAATTTATGGTTTTTTTTAATTTTTAAAATTAAAAAGCCACATAATCTTATACTTATATATATGTAAAGTATCAAATATAATAAATATTATAATAAATTGTAATTAATATGAAATTTCATTCCTTATTTCAAAATTTTATTTTAAAATTTACTTACCATTTATATTTTAGTATTTTATTTTCTTTAATTAACCTGTGTAATACACGGGTTTTACACCTATTTAATTAATTTACACAGAAAGAATACATAGTATTCATTGATATTGATATGGTGTTGACACTTGTACAGCCAAATGAGTGTCTACAATTCGGAGACGTCTTTCTCATTAGAGAGAGTGATTGGGAACCACAGTCTCTAGTAAACCAACCAGTCAACATGGCAACCCCCCTTCCGCCTCACCAGTCCGATTGAATCCTCTCTCTCTTTCTTATCACATACGTACCAGATCCAATCTCAGAAAGCTTTAATTTACTCACACTTTCTTAATGTTAATGGTAGATTCATATATGAAACTGGAAAAATCTCGCCGGAATTTGCTAATTTCTCATTAGAAGTGGTTGCTGCTGGTATGTGCATGCGATTGGTTCTATAATCTTCTTTGGTTAATTTCGAGACGTATTTCGGTCTAAAGAGATATCTAGAAGGAGTTTGATCATGGCCGTTGCTCTTGCTCAACCTTACCATGGATTAAAAGCGATGCTGCAGTCTGCTGTACAATCTGTTCAATGGACCTACATTATTTTCTGGCAGCTTTGTCCTCAACAACGGTACGGAAATCAAATTTGCTATTCGATATTGTTCTGTGAAATTTCACCTAAGTATACTTGTTTTGTATTCCTTCAATGGCGGTTAGGGTTTTAGTATGGGGAGACGGGTACTACAATGGCGCAATAAAGACCAGGAAGACGGTGCAGTCTGTGGAAGTTAGCACGCAGGAGGCGGCTTTGTGTAGAAGCGAACAGCTCAGAGAGCTCTACGATTCATTGGTTGCCGGTGAACAGCAGGCGACGGAGAACCAGCAGCCCACGATACGGCGGCCGGCGGTGGCATTGTTACCGGAGGATCTCACGGAGGCTGAATGGTTCTACCTCGTTTGTGTCTCGTTCTCTTTTCCTCCAGGCGTCGGGTACGTACGTCATTCTAGCTACTATTCCTTCACATTTGACCTAAAAGGCTAAAACTTCAGAATCTTTTGTTATGGGTTTTGCTTGCTATGACTCATAAATCATACTGTTTCATAAATTTTTTCCCAAAATTTCAGAATCTCAGCTGCGGCTGCTGCCATTGATATTAAATTCTGATTTCTGTTCTTGCATTAATACCACCAAAAGATCTCTGTTTTTCAGTATCGAATAATAATCAGCCTAAAATAAACCAAATCTATTCCAAACACTTAGGCGTGGAAAAATTTCCATCTTTTCTGGAAAATTTTCCAAAAAAAATGATGAAAATTTTCATTTTTTAAATATTTATAAACCCTACAACACACCCACCCTTCACTTACACCCTCAACCCAACCCTCACACCCACCTCTACCCTACCCCACCCCATACCCACCTCTACTCTACCCTATCCCCACCCC